AATTTTAAATTTTCACTTTTTTTTATATTTATACCAATAACTGAGAGATTAATAATTATTTTCTCCTCAACACCACCACTAACAATAACAACAAATCTTTCACTGCATTGAGATAGAAGCGGAGAGATTGAGAGTGAAAGGAGGAGGGTTGCCGGGCGGAGGGGACCAAAGGCTTGTGGTGAAAATTTGAAAGTCTTATTCAGAGGGTGTTTGGATAGCATTAAACATGCTTCTGAAAAGCATTTTTTTTACAAATCAAGATAAACTCTTTCACATATTTACTTTGTATACCATAAAAACACTTTTTAAACCATGGTTTTAATTTCATTCAAACCCCCTTAAAAGAGTTTCCACAACGGCACAACAGTTGTACTTTCAACTGCTAAAAAAATATTCTTATACTAATTTTTTTAATGAAATTTAAATATACACAAACACATAAACAAGATAGCATTCTCATTTAAACATAACGGGTATCGTTATGTTATTATTGAAAAACTTATAGCAGACAAAAGAATATAATTAATAGTTTAACTATTTATTCATTAAGTCATGGTTTTGTCAAACCTTTTACGCTGATTTTTGAAAGAAAAGCGTGGAAATGATTAAAAAAAAACTTTTTTTTCTTCCATATTAGTGAATGTGAGAGGAGGAAAGAAGTTGGGGCGCACCTTTATGATAGGGAGTAATTAAACGGGGACGCTCACCGCGGACCATGCATGACGCAGCAATAACACTAACCCCAAAAGAAGCACTATTGTTTATATGTAATTTTGCTTTGCGTCCATTGTTGGACAATTCTTCGATGTGGGCCAAAAGTGGCTTGACATAGCGGAATCTAATAGCGACACCGCACATGGTATAGTTTAACTTTTCATCATCGGATTTACCTGCAAAGTTCCATGCGTTCGTTGAACTGTGCATTTTCATTACAAATATATATATACATATATATGATCCCTCCTCTCATTAATTTCCAAATACCTGCTGAGTCATCACCCTAGCTCTTCAGCCCAATTATTAATTGCTTTGAAAAATACAGTGACGCAAATAATTTTAATATATAATACTAGTATTATTCCCTCTCTCTCTCTCTCTGGGCGGTTGAGATTTTATAGGAGGTTAAAAGGGAAGAATTGTAGAAGGTGCATGCACGACTTTTATTAATTGGACTTGACTCGTCCAAAGTTGGTTTGTATGACAATCATGCGTATTGTTTGGTTTTTTCCTCCAAGCATGGTTCTATGATTTGGATGTTTCCTCTTATAACTTCTCTTTGTTTGGTTAAATCATTCATAATTCTCCGCGACACACTCCCTGATTTGTCAACCACCACCATCCTCTCTTGACATTTCCTCCTTCTTCGATCTCTTGCTGACCCATCCCCTCCCCAAAACTTTTTCAATCATATAGTAATCCTTTAAAAGTTACTACCTCCGATCCTTATAATATAAGACTTTGTTTGACTTTTATTTTAGTCATAAATATAATATTTCAATCCACTTTGTATATAGTAACCTTGTATATACTCCTAAAGTTTTAAGGTTGCTTGCATAGAGCAGCTCCATAGAATCAAAAGCAACCTTAAAACTCACCGATTTTACGGCATGTATACTTCCCCTGGTTCGTAGCTTTCCTTATCCAAGAAAATGATATCTTGACTTCGTTTTCATATACTCCCCGGTCCTTATTATAAGACCCAATTTGACTTTTTATTTGGTCCTAATTATAAGACCCAATCCATTTTTTCTCTTATATTTATGTATTTTTTTCCAACATAATCCTTCTAATAATGATAGTTTTAGCCAATATACTTAATTAGCAAGGATATTTTAGGAATGATAACACTTATTTATTATAAATAACCAACTTAACTTACTTCCTTAATCTCTTCAAATAAGTCAATTGAGTCTTATAATTAGGACCGGAGGAGTATATTTCTGTGCAGTTCATCAACATTCACATGATAACAGTGTATCCATACATTATTCACGGACCGATGCATTAATTAATTTTTAATCGCCTCTTGATTCTTACATCGAGGAAATAGCATATATAAGTATAATTTTCTTGTTATAAAATAGATAAAGAAAATATATACGCAATAAACTTAATTTGGTACAATGATAATTCTATTTTACGTTCGTATGAACATTCCTAGATTTTTTTGGGGGTGAAATTGAACGTTCACAGATTTAAATAGACATTCAGTGTTTCAATCGACGTACATGCACAGTCATTGACTATTCGACTAACACATTCATCAGGAAGATTTTCTGGGAAGATCTTAACCTAGTAGTTTGGGAATATTCAATCCCCAGGATCGTGCTCGAGCATTTACAAGAGAAAATAACAGAAAAATACATAATTGTTTGAGGGATTTACGTGTTATATTTATGGTGATTCATTTTTACGTTCGCGTGGACATTATTCATGTATTTAAATAGACATGTTGAGCTTTGCAATCACATGCATGCATTCACAAATTTTCTCATCTTGACACATTAGGAATGGATAATCAGCCACTTGGGAAGATCCTAATTAACATAATAGCACGTGAAGATTCAATCCTCTGCGTCATGCATTTAGAGGAAGAATAATAAAAGAAAATATGATTATGCACGGGATTTACATATTATAATTATATCTATTCATTTCTCATTTAATCTATGTCCAGGCATTGCATTTAATCAATTTTAACTTGTTAAAATTAATTAAAAATTCCAAATGGATAGCGAAGAGGCAAAAGACGAAGCAAATAAGTCCACATCAAAATATGTACAGGGGACGGTGGTGGAAGAAAATTAGAAGGGGAAGGAGGGTGGATGTCAAATGAGCATATCCATCAAATTGACAATCTAATAAAAAGAAAGAGGGAGGAAGAAGAACGAAGTAATTGAGGGAAGAAAAAAATAGGCTCATGGGACCAATGAAAGGAGCCTGCTTGGCGTGCCCAACAAAGAATCTCTTTTCTGGGTAACAACTGTACATCCATATTCAATAAACAACGTGCCCTTAATAACACACTGCCCTTAATTAGCTTGGCGTGCCCAACTAAACCCCATTTATATCACGCGGGCTTGCTGTCTTAGTGCCCTTAATAGTATACTATGGAGTATAAGCTAAACCTTCTTAAAAAGGGTTGATTTTTTTTATAAGATAATATTCACTTTTGTTCAAGCATTTAATGAGTTTTTTTTTTAATTTTACCCCAATATATTCTATTTCCTCTTTAATTTATCTATTGCATCTTTTATTTATTCTCTTCATTAATAAGGGTATATTAAGAGAGAAAAAATATATACCTTACACATTTATTGTTTTAAATTGATTTTAATTAGTTTCTTGATAAATATAAATAGATAAAGCTTAACTTATATTTTGAACCAGAAGGAGTATACTATCTCCTGTGTTCTGAATATAAAAGCTAGTTAATTAATTTGAATAGATTATAAAAGTTTATTAAGTTAGTTATCTGTACTAAACATGTATTATCTTTTCGAAAATATCTTCTTTAATTATATATATTAGTTAGAATTATCATTTAATTAAATTTTTAGCATGTTAGCTACTATAATGATTGTTTTAAAAAAATAAATATAAAAAATAAAATAAATTAAAATCTTGTACTATCTCTGGTCTTAATATGAGGTCTTATAATTAATTAAGGCCGGAAATAGCATTTAGAACCGAATTAAAACAATCGTCTGTACATTAACCCATTGACGGCTCTCAATATCCCAGCTGCCGCCTTTTATGTTGATTAATTAATTTTGTTCGTTCATTATTATTATAATAATAAATTATGGTCCCGTCGTATTAAATATTACTATTATTCATACTCATATATATTTTGGCTGATTTTTCTCGAGTACGACAAGGTACGACCTAGGGTGATGCCTCTGGTGTTGGAATATTATGAGAACAATAGTAATATCAATAAAGAGGGGGAAAATACAGGGGATGGGGGAAAATGAATCTGGACCGTGGAATGGGATATGAGTGGGATACTGTAGCCGTAGCTTAGATGCAGGTGTCCCTTTCGTGATTGGAGGGTGGAGCCAGCCCGGCTTCGGCAAGTTGGCCTTTCTTCTTCAATCTTCGCTTTCATACCATTTCGGCATTTCCTGACCTCCCCATTTTCAACCGTTGGTTCCTCACCCTCTTCCCCCCACGAGATATTTTTATTCACTTTCCCGATTTTTCCATCAACCCATCAAATAATCATTCAAAATACCTTTTTTCCCCTATTTATAAAGCCGAGAAAATAATTTATTTATTTTTAATACAAATCATGCTAGTATCATTAAATTTATTATAGAACCCATATTTTACTCATAATTTTATAATTATTTTAATAATATATATTAAATAAGAAGTAAAACCTAAAAATTATTAAGTTTTAGGATAAATTTAATGAGATTGAAATTCTTTTAAATCCAATAAAACATCTTAAAAGCGTGTTATAAATAGAATTATAGGAGAAAAATAAATTATTTTTTCCATTGAACTAAACCACGGTATGCTAGTGCTAGTGCTAGTGCTTAACTGTTATTTTAATTTTAAAATATTGTATGCGTTTTGTGAAATAAATTCAATATTTACGTTCCCAGGATTAGACACATGTCCCTATAAATGAACAGGTGGGTGGTGAATCACGGTATTACCGGGCGGGTTGGCAAGTTTTTCCAAAAGTGAACTGGCATTTGAACACGTGGCAGAATGGGAGCGGCTAGATCTGATCTTCGGACTTTATCTCCCCGTGAAAAAGCGCGTCGGACTGAAACGTCCCTTACCCTTCGAACAGCCCAAACCCAAAATTCTTGGTTATTAATAAATAGCAATTAATTGAAGTTATAGTAAACATCATTAGTATTTTACTAATTAAGTACAATGAACAGGAGGACTGACCGGCAACCTGATGCGCCTGTTTCTTACCGGGGTCAGATATATAAACTACAGAAACACGAACCGCGTTCTGACCGGCGGTGCTTCTTGATATAAGCTGGGTGGTGTGTGTGCATATATATATATCAGCCCCGATGTTGCCTGCTTGTTTTGATAAACCCCAGCTGAGGCTGTACTTCACCGGAGGCGTCGTGCCTTGACCTTCGCCGGAGCTTGACGAAACAGTCGTTCGTTCAGCTCCGTTTTCATTCAGCCAAACCAGGGTAAGTAGCTTTTTCCACTTTTCATTCTCTGGGATCACGATATTCTCGAGTATCGTGCAGCTTTGATGGTGTTTCGGGCTGCGTTTTCCTCCGATCCGATTTTCATGGGAAGAGCAATGATTAGCTATGGGAGTGGGGTTCGTTTGTTTTTACTTGAAATAGTTTACTGATTCATTGTTTTTTAAATTTGCAGGTTGAAAGGAAGAAAGGCGAAGAGTTCTATATTTTTGGTTGAATTTTTTGGAGTGCCCCAAATTTTCCATGCGTGAGACCTCAAAGTCTTCTTTTGGATCTAGCTTTCCACTACCAGGACTCTAAATCTTCATGATTTCTTTCCTCCTTTTAACTGTTCCTCATGTTTTTTCGGCTTTGAAGTCTTAAAATTCACTACCTTTTCCGCACGATTTAACCCTGAAAGCTAAGAAATGGGAGTGAAAGTTGCCTCAGCCTGTTTGCAATGGTCACAGCCAGTTCTTCCTCATTCCCCATCCTCTTCTCAAACTCTAGCCTCTGCTATCTCATCTCCTTCCTCCAGACGGGGAAGTCGTGGCACCAATGGAGCAGGAGGTGCTCTAGTATGTCGGTTAGTAAGCAGATTGGGCCGGTCGAGCCTATTCGGTTCCCAATCAACGCGGCTTTATAGGTCTCCATCTCGTGATTACCCGCTCTCGGCAGCTAGAAAATTAAGATTCACCTGCGGTGCCAGCTTTGATTCTTGTTCGGACGACGAATTCTCCAAGAAGATTGAAGATCTAGCACTCAGATTTCAGCTTTCCGATGGGAATAATAGTGCCACAGATTCAGAATCAGATAGTATCGGTGAAGATCAGACACAAAGCCCAGTTTCCGAAGTAGAGAGCATTGAGCCTCCCTGGGTGGAAATCCAGAAAGATCCGCCGGATTGGAGCACTGGCGGCGGCGAAGAGATTATTCCGTCGATTATTGAAAGAAAAGCAAACAGCGTGGAGCTTCCGTTTTCTCTGAGAATCATAAAGAAGAAATTGCAGTGGAAAGAGGGCTTCAAAGAGGCGGGTGAATCTGCTTGTTGCTCTGTAAAGAAGGCTTTCTCTTCCATGGTGTTCATAATCCGTGAGCTCCATAGCTACACTCTGCAAATGAGGGAGATCCTATTCTACGAAGACCTCCAAGGGATCCTCGATCGAGTTCAAAAAGAAATGCACGCGTCGTTCGTTTGGCTATTTCAGCAAGTCTTCTCTCACACGCCCACTCTCATGGTCTACGTGATGATTCTTCTTGCAAATTTCACCGTCTATTCAATGGGGCACAACACCGCCATAGCCACGGCAGCTCCGCCGCCTGCATCCACGACGGAGATTGCCTCCGTCAGTGAAATTCAGCGGAATAAAAAGTTTGATTCATCTGCAGTCAAGACATTTTCGGTCTCCTCATCAAGCGGGAAAACAACCTCCATTGGGGGTAACAATGGCGGCGGCGGGAAAGTCCGGCCAATAGCCAGCGGCACAGATGGAGGTGATGGGGGGTTTGACAGGTCAGATCACTACCACCGTACGGTCCTCCCCGACGGCGGCGCTTCTTCTCAATTTTCCACCGTGGGAACAACTGGGGAAACAGAATCGGTGACGGTGGGAGAGACTAGAGCGGATGAAAATGAAGAAGAGGCGCGTCTGTGGGAATCCATTGTGGACGAAGCGAGGACAATGGAAGCAAATTCAAGAGCCGAAGCACTAGACCAGGAGACTGTGGATGGGTTCGTTTCGCCTGTATCGGCGAGAATCGAATCCGACGATTATGCGGAGTACCTCAGGACAGAGGTACTGTACCAGACGGCGTTGTTCCAAGAACCCAGTAACCCTCTTCTCCTAGCGAACTACGCTCAGTTCCTCTACCTGGTTGCCCATGATTATGACAGGTTCGTCATATCTCGTCCATTTTCTTACACTTGCATTAGATTTTCTCAGAACTGTTATCATTATTTCGAGTTATATCATACAAAAGGTAGAAGTCAGGCGCTTCACGTAGACTTGGGAATTAATGAACACCTTGAAATTATTCCTTTAAGATAAAAATCTCGCTTCAGTCAGGATCGGGCCAGACGAGAAGATCAATTTGTGCATTAAAACTTCGACAAGGAAATTTGTGGTGTATTTTCTGTTCACCACTGATTCATGAACATGATCTATCATCTTCCTCGCGTGAGACCCACGTGCATGAGAAGAAAGATCTTCAAACTAATCTCGTTAGCGTCGACCATACGATGTGTCAAGAGGCAGATAGAAAAATTGACGGGGAAAAGGCTTGATTTTTATTGCTCTTGACAGTGAAGTTGCTTGCATTTGCATGTGAATGAAACTACTAGTGGCTTGCTTGTTTGACCGTGATGGTATCATATGAATAATAATATTAATGTTGGGTGTGTACTTTGAACAGAGCTGAAGAGTACTTCAAGAGAGCGATAGGAGTGGAAGGTGCTGACGCGGAAGCCTACAATAAATACGCAACGTTCCTGTGGAAGGCCAAGAACGACTTGTGGGCTGCAGAAGAAGCCTATTTGGAAGCCATTTCTGCAGAACCCACAAACTCATATTATGCCGCTAATTACGCTCACTTCCTCTGGAACACTGGGGCCGAAGACACCTGTTTCCCCCTTGCTTCCCCAGACACCTCCCAAGAACTTTAATTGATCTTTGGATCACTTACTAAGGGAACGAAAAAAAAAAAAAAAAAAGAGAAAAACATTTTTTTGGTAGTCTGTTTTTTTTTTCCTCTTAAAATTGGAGCATGGAGTCGAAAAATAAGATGTCTTGAGGTATAGGGAGGTGACGACAGAGTAAACGACGGTGCGTTTAACTGTGGCTATGCTAGTATTTTATTGTCGTTGCGTTTACATTGGAGATCTGTGGAGTGGAAAGGGGCCAATGATTGAAGATCGAGAAGATATGGTGTGAGGATGGGTGGCGGGGATGACTTGCTTTTGCACATATTATGGCCTTTATTTTTCTCTTTCAGGTTTTTCGTTGACATAATCACACGGCAAATTGTAATTAAATCTTTTTTTTTCCTTTGTTGATAATATAAATGCCGTTTTTGGGACTTGCTTATGCTTTGATTTGAGCACGATGATAAGACGGGATGAGACCCTTCACGATAATGTTGGGGATAACACGGGCTTCATGTAATCATGTTTCACGTGCCATACTGTTCGACATTTGTTTTTAAATTATCAGATTAAAGAATATTACTGTTATCAATTATCAATTCAATTAATTAAAAAATATTTGTTGGCTATAAAATTAAATAAAAAGTAAATTATAATTTTATGAAAAAATGAGAGTGGTTGAACTGAAAAGACGATCAAGAAAAGTATCCAGGTCGACAGGGACTGGATGGGTATAAACATTTTATTATGCTGGAAAAAAAAGATATTAATATTTTGATATATTGGACGTCATTAATAAAGTAAATAACCAGGCTGGCATGCAGATATTTTCCCCCCACTTATTGATGAGAGGGAAGTAAGGTCCATATTGCTGGCTGAAACACTCCTAAAATACGGCTGAGCTAGCCGCAGACAGATGTTGGGGGGGGGGGGGGGGGGTGTGCCAGTAATGATACACTCCGTTTTTGTTCAAAGAATTAATAATAGTAATAATAATGCTAATAAAAGACATATAAAAGAAAAGCATGTGAAGAATGAAAGGAAAAGAATATATATGCGTGCGTAGGTCGCACTAATTCTGGAGGTTTGGGAAAGAATAATCTCTCCTTCTTTTATAAGTTTGTCTCCCATGTTCATTTTCCTTCTCTCCAAAGAAATTCATTTCTGCTTACACACACTCACGCACCCATGTATATTTGATTCAGTCCATTACTTGTGCATGACATTAGATGACAGGTTATTTACGTTGTAGATATTCAATTGCACAAAATGCTGTTAATAAATTAAAAGAAACAAAAGTGTAAATGCAGTTTCTATGGCAGTTTAAAAAAAAATGTCGTTGCGTTTAGTGATGTTAATCTATATGTAAGTTCCAGTAAAAAAGAATTTGTGATTGTGGATAGTATTTTTATGACTATTTTTAATCTAAATATACATTTTTTGGCCGGCCGGTAAGTGACTGACGTCCAATTAAACTTAAAGTGATGTTATTGAGGTTATTTGGGAGGGTTTAAAAAATTTCCTATAAACACATTTCACATAAATCGAGATAAAAATTTTCTTATATATTTGTCTTGTATTATATAAATCACTATTAAAAAACTATTTATAAGTTATTTTAAATGGATTTATTATCATTATCAAAAAGTTAAGCGGTCAATTTCTTTTTTTGCGCAAGTACAGTGGAAGATGAATCCAAGCAGACAATGAGGGCACATTCACGTGAAGAGTACAGTATTAGGATTACCATCCCTCCCAATCCCATTGGCCGTGACCAAACCACGCCCACCCTGCTTTTACTGCTCCTGCACAAATAATGGTGACCAAGCAAATGGCTTTTGATTATCAATTATGCCATAATTATCATAAAGAAATTTGAAAAGGTGTTAAAAAAAGGCTAATAATCCCTTTTGATGATTTGATTAGCATTATTCGCAGACATTTCGAGGATGACAAAAATGGAAGGAAAGAATATGCGCCGGCGTTTCTAATTTTGGAGGTTTAACGACGAATAATCTCTCTCTCTCTCTCTCTCTCTGTGTTTCTTTCTTTGTTTTTTCTTAAACCCAAGGGAATTCGCTTCGTTTCTTTTGTTTTTTGGTGACACAGAGGAATTCATTTCTGCACATATTCTTTCCTTCTTTTTAATTATTTCCGTTACTTATGTGTTACATTTGAAGACAGATTTTCACGTTTTAAATACACAGATACACGTAATATTGTTAATAAAATAAATAAACAAACAAAAAGAGAGGGCGTGCAAATGCAAATGTACGTACTTTCGGTGGCAAAAATATGCACCTACTTTTATTTAGTGTAAGGTACAGTGTTCATTTTTATATGATTAATATCTATAATCAAAAGAAGCGCTAAATGACGTTTTTATTCCTCAATTATTATTTCTTGACAGCTAAAATTGAATGAATTTCGCCCCCAACTTGTTGCGGCCATGTTGCTCTTTGATTAACGATCGTTGATGTTAACTTCATATTGACTTTATTAGTGCATGGATTATGACTGTGCAGCTGTATAAATAATACTACCTCCGGTTCTAATTATAAGATCCAGTTGACTTATTTGAGGAGATTAAGGAAGTAAGTTAAGTTAGTTATTTGTAATAAATAAGTGTTGTCATTTCTAAAATATCCTTGCTAATTAAGTGTATTAGCTAGAACTATCATTATTAAAAGGACTATCTTGGAAAAAATGCATAAATATGAGAGACAAAATGGATTGGGGTCTTATAATTAGAACCAAACAAAAAGTCAAAAGGGGTCTTATATTAAGGACCGGAGGTAGTATTTAATTGACTTTTTAACGTTGTTTGATACCCTATACTTAGTTGATATATATACGTAGTACTCCTCCGGTCCTAATTATAAGACCCAATTGACTTATTTGAGGAGATTAAGGAAGTAAGTTAAGTTGGTTATTTATAATAAATAAGTGTTGTCATTCCTAAAATATCCTTACTAATTAAGTATATTGGCTAAAACTATCATTATTAGAAGGATTATCTTGGAAAAAAAATGCATAAATATAAGAGACAAATGAATTGGGTCTTATAATTAGGACCAAATAAAAAGTCAAATTGGGTCTTATAATAAGGACCGGAGGAGTATTACTTAAATTCGTAACAAAATAAAAAAATATTTACAGTATTTTATATTTAAACAAAGCTATATAACAAGACTATGGCAAGTCCCTATATATTTTTCGTGACTGGATCCTTCAACGAAACATGGGACCCAAGGAACAGCATATTCGAACGGAAGAGAAGAAGTTGGGGAGATTATGGAGGAATTTACAGGGGAAATTAGGCGCGTCTCCAACAGTGCATGAATTTAAATGTGTGGAGTATTATTCATTTGAAGTGTTTTATATGGGGCCCACGCATAGGTTAGATTAAGATGGATGACAGAAAGCGTACAGATCAAATCAAACACATGTTTTGTGGAAAATGAAGCCACCGAGAAAACGACGCCGTTTTCACGTGACGACCACAGTAGCAGGATGGTCTGCATCATGGACAATGACAATGGTTTGAGTTTAAAATTTTTAATTAATAATTTTTAAATCAAAATTTATTCTTTAAAAAACCTTACATTTAAGAGTTTACATTTATTTTTAATTATGTACCTGTTAAAAGAAAAATATTTTTTGAAAAAAATTTCAAATATTGAATCTTGACTGTCCATGTTAAATTTAAATGGTTGAGATTTGATAAGCATCATAATACTCATTATTGTAATTAGAGGTGGTAAAACGCGCCAGCCCACCATAGGCTTGAGACCATGCAGGCCGATCCTAAAAAGACTGTCTCCTGATGGGCTCACATTTTGCTAGTTCGTCCGGCCAACCTCTATCTTCTTTTTATTTTTTATTTTTTTACACATATATTTAAATTTTTTAAATTAAATTATAAATTTTTATAGAACAAATTCTTCTTATTCTTATATTTTCATATAATTATATAATTAAATTAATCTCAAAAGTTGAAATATAAACATATAATTCATTGTTAATAATTATTTTATTAGTATAAAATAGTAAAACTATAAAGAAAAAGAGAAATCAAATTTAAAATCAAAGTCTCTAACAAAATACAAAGTTATATGTAAATTAAGTGAAAATAATAAGACTTTTTCTTATTAAAATAAAAATAAAATTATTTTAAAAAAACGGGTTGGCAGACTAGCTCGTGGCAAGCTATAGGTTGGCGGGCTGAAAAGGACCATATCAAAATGGTCCATATTTTTTTCAACCCAACCCATCATCTTATAATAGATTGATGGGTTGAGCCCGTTGAGCCCGTGACCGGTCTAATTGTAATGAATACTGGTTCCGTACTGTATCAACATCGTTATCCCAAGCCTTTCATTTTCTTTTGCCCAGTTTGGATTCCATTATTTCAATTATAATTAATTAATTATAAAACTAAACACCCCTGTGCACACCAAAATCATGGTTATATCATTAGTTAAGTAAAATCAATCATATGAACATCTGGTAAAAATGGCTTATGGATAATTTTCGTAGTTGATCTGAACTTGTATGAAGTGTTTGGTAAAAATAGAATCAAGTGAATAAACATGTATGGAAATTAAGGGAAAAAGGCTATGAAAATCATTCATTCACTTTGGATATGGGAATCTAACTACACATCAAAATCATCACTTTGGAATTGGAAAACGATGGAGAACAACGCCATCGTTGAGATAAATGCTGTTAGGCCCATAAGTGAGAGAACGAAGCCCACCTTGCCTAGAAACTCGTGGGCCTAGCTTGCGGATATTACCTGGCCCACAGGAAAAATAAACAGAACAAGGCACAGTTTTCCATCATTCAATTCAAATCATACAACCAACAAGTGTTGGTTCAAGTAGAAGGGACTTGGACCCTTTAAACATCATATCTTGGGTTTGATCATTAGGTGTGTATGAAAAAAATACTGTTAGGAGTGGTTCCCGCTACGGCGTCTGATAGTATTCCAAGAGATTAGTTACTTACCGTTCAGATGGGAGGATACTCTGGGCAACAAAAAAAAAATCAAATCATACAGAAATTAAAATTTTAATAAGAAGACGTAGAAGCAACCTAAATCAAAAAATAAATTACATGTAAAATAAAATTATTTACATAATACAGTAAAGATCTCCACCTATGTACGTCCGGGAATGCTTGATAAAATATTGAAAACTCACTTCCTTTTTTTTTCTTTTGGGTACCCGATCTTTAATGTACTTAATTATATAATAATGTCCTGCAAATGGAAATTAACTCAAATTTATGACATTGTCATTAATTATTCTCTAATTGTGGCTAACCAAATTAAAATTAAAATTCTCATTCTTTATTAATTCAATAAATATAACACGATACAAAAAACTTGGCTAATA